GGATGCAGTGCTAAGAGAGAAAAATGGACCAACGTCTCTCTCCAAATCCAAGGCATTGGCTATTCTCACCATTTCTTCATGACCGGGACGTGGATTTGCCAGAAAAAAAGTATCCAATGATTTTCGCTGAAAATTACTTATGTCAGTGTTACAGCAAGCCACATGAAATCCGCAAGTACAGAATACTCTAGATCTGTTATAATTCTGCATTAATTTCCTTTTTCAAGGCTATCTTGTCACGTTGAACCCCTTCCCCATCCCCGAAAATGTTTCGAATTTTACAAATTGTGCAATCAACTTTTTTGTACCTGTGAGTCGTCAGAATAATCTTCTAAATTTTTGAAAAAATGAAGTTTCCAAAAATTTTTGGGCGTGGCTTTCTCCACGCCAACTTCTTCATGGTTAAAGACGCACTAAAAAATTGGACATCCCAATAGAGTTTCAGACGGTGTGGCTGAGCTACGCGCTTAAACCTGAGAATTTTTCCTATCCGTCCTTCCCCACCCCTCCCGCATTTGTTGGACCGCCTCTGCAATTTTCTCAAAATGGAATTTTTTCTTTCCACAGTATGTTACCAACTCAACTATCGCTCAAATCAAAAAGTCCCTGCCTGCGACAGATCAAGATTCGTCCGCTTCCTGCGTCTCTTCATTATAGGCTCTGTGTTTGCGACATGGATCGGTACTTCCTCTACGCATTCCTCCACTTTCTCCTAAACTTAAGCAAATTTAGAACCAACATGACGTTATGCATAATTATGCACCCAACCTTAGCGATCTCAATAGTCCGCAGTTCCTCCACATTTACACCATTAGCCACGGCTGCTTCTTGACCCTCCAACCATTCCTTCAGTAACGGGCGAAGCTTACACATGTTTTTGAAGGAGAGATTCATAGCCTGAAAAATAATAAGGTATCAGCCCATTTTTTTAGCACCTAGGAGGTGTTCAAACCTCGAATCGGGAAATTGTTGTTTGCGAGAAATCCGTACCGTACTTTCTGCCAAGAGCGAGTCCTACATCACCTTGGGTATAACCTATCAAGAGGAATGGTCTTTGTACTGAGTTTTGAGACATGGTGGAAGTAGACTCACCAAGTTTGATACGCTGCCTCTTGAAATGCTGTGCAAAACTTTCCAAATCGTCTATTTCGGGGCGCGAATCGTGCAAACTTGAGGTAGAAGCCTATATAAAAAGCTTTCACCTCCACACTTCCAGTAACAAAACTATTTACCGAAAAATCGTCGAAAAGCTTTCGCTTGGTTGGAGGTCTGAATGACATTCGCGGAAGCGTACGAAAAAGCGGCGAGTTCAGGACAGCATCCATATCCGACGTACTCCACTGATTGACAGGTCGCGACGTAACTGAGAGCGAGTTCAGAAGCGCCGAGTTTTGGATCTTGTTCGGTTTCTTTACGGGTCGTCCTGTACATAGAGACGCTACTTGATCTTTATTGCTATGGTTTTCAGGCGTTGAATCGCTAGTGCATTCCGGTTGAAGCAGTACAGCAGTGGAAGGGTCCGATGAGCTTGTTAAAGGGAGCTCAGGAGTGCTTGGAAGTGTTACTGAAGCACTGGGCAACGAGGATGTCGCAGATGACGAAGAAGGTTTGGCTCGACTTGTTCCATTTTTCGCCTCACTGTTCGTGGAGTCTGCGAGAAGCTTCGAGATGAAGGACAGTAAGGAATGAGTATCAGTGACAGCTTTATCGCTCGAGGATGTAATAGCCATAGCTGCGACATTTGGAATATCCTGTAAAAATA